CCCAAAAAATTGCCAGGTACCTCGACTCGGTCCGACTCAATCTCGGTTTCTTGTTTTCCATGGCCTGCTCCGAGCATGCTGCGCCGGAATTTTAAGGAGTGTGCTTTATTTCCTCTCAGGCTCAACAAGGAGGCGGGTTTCTTTTCGCCCCTGGAATCAGATTGATGCAGTCAACTACTACTAGTGTTGCGACAGCTCATCGCATGCTATCTCTGCCAGTTTCTTTTTTTTTCTCTCTTTAGAAGGTTATGTAAGCTGTGATAATTCTAAAATTAACTGTCATGATGGCCTAATAATTGTCTACTGATTAGCTGAGGCTTTCCCATTACAATTACTCAAAATGCCTCCACGATATGCCCTCTTGTTCTCTCACGACGAATGAAGAGGTCACTTGTGCAAGTCATATGTCTCTAACTGGGAAAGATACGTTACCATTTCCGCTGCAACACAGGCATCGATATCTACGGTACACTTCCTACCTAACCGTGTCTTTCTAAACCCTGTTTTCCTTTTCATCCAAAAGGCAAAGAGAACGAAATGTATCGTTTAGACCAACAGCCCGAGACAACAATCAGCCAGCAGCATATACCCACATGGAAGAAAGAAAGAAAAAGGAAGGATCCCAGGTCTGGATTTTATCTGAGCAACATCGTTGGCTTTGAGCTTTCAAGTCACTATTCCAGAAAAGTATGTTCAGATCCGCAACGGCGCCAGCAGAGGCGAGATTTGCGGTTTCGAGCACTACTGTGTGTTTTCACTAGAACGCTTATGCATCTCATCATATTTCAACCCTTGCGATCTTGCTAATATGTTGGGTTTGTTCTGTGGGAGAGATGAATCCTACTTTTTGAGATAAGCCGGCGAATCTTTCGCTCTGCTGGCTGTGTCGTCTTCTTAGGACAGCGGAGTGAAGAATAGTACACACTGTGGTTTGCTAAGATCATACAACAAAGATGCAGAGTACGAGAAGATAGAGGACATGCTATGCTGTAACCCAAATGGATGTCGGGTTTGTACCCTGAGTTGGAGTCGTTCATTAAGCGATTTCAACAAGCAGCAGAAGCAAAACCTGTGGTCCTTGATGGTGAAGAATCGCGCCGAAGAAGAACTGCTCTTATCTGTGCTGGCCGTATGCTATTTCAAAGTAAGAGAGGAAAATGGTTGCTAGGGCCAATCGAGCGATACGAAGGAAAGAATTAACGGGAGGAGAACATGGAACAGGGCGTCTGATCCAAATGATGATGCTCTTGAAGTACGGGTATCCAAAACGATCTGCGAGACTTGACTCCTCAAAATACGGGTAAAGGCATGGGACGTAGGATATATACTCACGATCCCCTTCGCAACATTGAAAGCTGCAATGGAGATCAAGGTTTAGGCTACAGCTTCCAGTCGAATACCGAAGACATGCTGTGAGACGGAAGACTGCTTTGGGAAACACAGCGGAGCTCCAGGATTGTAGCCCAGCTTCCTCGAAGTTCGATGGGTGGTACAAGGCATATTGACGGGAGGACAGCTGCATCAGATCTTTCCGACGACTTCGTAACTTAATCTTGCGGAAGACGATCTGCCGGTTCCAGTACCGCGGTTACGGCGTGTGCCATCTGCTATGGTCGGACAAGGAGGCCTGATGTAAGATGTACTATTTGCAGACCGCGCAACCTCCATCGTCGGGATGAACTTAATTCAAAGTACCTTAGGAAAAGGGCAAGACCAGAAATGAAAAGCAGGGTCGAATGAGCCGAGACATTTTAAATCGGGACAGCACATACGGGACTTGATCTCACAATTCAATCAACTTACTTTCGAGCTCCGAGGGGTCTAGCCCATTGCCCAGCACAAGGTACGGCCCAAATGTCCAGGATGCTGAATTGCAGGTCAAATCATCCTCAGCGCTGCGAGGTGCTTACGAATGCTCATGAAGCTGTGGGGTCATGTGACTGGGATTGAATATGGTATTTGCTCCTGGTGGAGGGAAACGTCTCAATCTGCTCGCGGGTGAATGGAATGTGCCGCAATGTGAGCATTTTACTGACATGAGAGTGAATCTGCTGAATCAAAGTCGTCAGTGAGAAATCGACAAGTTTCATCGCCTGCTCAGGTGCCAGGCTTCCGCAAGGGAAGAAAACGTCTGCCAAGAGCAACAGAGCAACGTATCATGGTAGAGACAGCATGTACGTTGCATGCCATTACCCAGCCTCCATGATCTCGCCATACACTGTAAGGATCGAGACTCGACTGAGTCATGTCCAAAGTGCCTGATCAATCGTTGTCATCAGGAGGGTCACTGGTGCAAAACAGAGCCATGCAGAGACGACAACCTTGGTGCATGCTTGACATGATGGATGTGAATACAAAATGCAGTGTGAGCAAGATCCTGCTCATCATCAAGGACAGTCATCACCTGTCAGAATGTGAAAGCTGCAGGCCAGATATAGCACAAAGCATTTAGAGCAGGTATCATAAGGGAAACAAACTACGCAGGCAATAAGGATGGATTCCGTACAGTAGGTTTGACCATAAGCTATGCATCCTACCAGACAACTGCGAGCCGTACATTGTCACTTGCTCGTTGTGATCTCACATTCCGAAAGTGCTACTGCAACATCAATAAATGACGGCAATATTTCAGCGCACTGTAGCGGGTGAAAGAGGGATCTTGTTGCCTCTATCAGCAGTGAGGCAGAACAACCGATATAAGACTTGCATTGATTGGTCGAAATAGTCGGTGAGCAGATCGGCAAGCACATCGAGGAAATGGTCTGCACCTTGGGAGGATAGAAGGCTGCATATGTTGCAGTGGATTGCTTGCCTCCCAGAGCGGATCTGACATGGCCCAGCAAGTAGGAAGTGTATGCAGGAGACGTGCCACTAAGTCAGATGGACACTTGCAGCTGCATGAACCAAGATCGGATTTGGAGAATGGTGTCCAGCTGTTATGAATAGGCACATTATTAAAGATATGGGAGATGGCACGGTGCATACAAGCATACCATCGAGCCGTGTGTGTTTCTTCAGCCATCTTCTTACGGCAGTGATATGCAGGTGGTGCAGTGGTGCAGGTGGTGCATACGTTAAGAGATCAGATAAGGGAGACCAGCACTGCAGCAGCCATGCATCCGATGACATTGCTGTACAGATACCTCAAAGAGGTGCCTTCTGCCGAGGAGAACCATCAAAGATGGTAGAGGGGCATGGTGCGTTAGTAGTGGCTGTCAAAATATATTTGCTGCTGGAGGTCAAGTGTGAGCGTTTTCAATTGTCAGCGTACGTTGTTGCCAAGCGTAGAACATATAATAATGTGGACACCGGAGGAGAAATAATTGTGGCCTGAATCCTCCACACCACTGATTGACTCCCAGCTGTTCAGATTCAATTGTTCAGGTTCGGTTTGAAATTCAGATGCAGGTTCAGGTCCAGATCCACACCCATGAAATCAAACGTCAAGCGTCAAGGGTCCGGCTGGTAGCAACTAACGACCGTCTAACGGCACTAGCTACTTAGCTCTCCAGCCCCTCGGTCAGAGTCGGGTGTTTGCAAAGGGGCCAGAAGCCAACTTGAATCTGGCCCCAAGAAACCAATCGATCCATCATGCATGCGGTGACACCGGCTAAGACGCCACACGTCGGAAAGCACCCCGAAGGCAGATCATTTCGGCCCCATGCTTCTCAGGGTAAGAATATATCGACTTCCGGTAAGTTAGTATAGCACGCAGCCAAGAGATTCTGCGCTAACTTCCTGCAGTTAATTACGACTCAGGGCGGCAGAGCAGCAAGTCTTTCCCGGTTTCGGACCCGGCAGATTCCTACCTCTAGTTGGTTCACGCACTCAAGCCTCCGAAGTTTTCCACCTGTGTCGAGCCGTGAGTCGCGGAAATTATGGTTACCAAGGCTCTCTGTGCGTGGGCCATCTGTGCCTGAACAATGGGATACAAAAAAAGCACCGGGAAAATTCCATCAATCATGGGCATCCGGCATACTTGCAGGAGATCCGTGTGGAAGAAGCATTTTAAAGCGGGACCCAAGCCGGTATCTCAGTGGCATGGGCGGCAGCAATGCAAGCTCGCCTTGCCGAGTAGCTAGGAAGTGGTGTGGCGTGCAAGATCAGGACGCCAGTTGACATCATGAACTAGGTCACCAAGAACAGACCACACCACGCTTTCTGTCACTGTGACCTCGAGGCCCACAACTTGTTGGTGTCGTAACTCACAAAAGGGATCCCTGGACAACAGTGCAGAATGTGACGGGGAACAATACCACGGTTCATGTTAGGCGCTTCGATCTCTATCATGGTCCATCTGTTTTTGAGCTAAGGTTCAGGCTCCCTGTTACCTGACAAGGAAAGGCTCGCTTTCCACAAAACCTCTGTGCCCGAGGACTAGTCGATCTTTGGGCTCAGTAGCTAGCCATACACAATACAAGCCATTACCGCGTTTTGCTTGTGAGATGGCCACGATTGCATCTCATGCGGCGGCGTCATAATGGTGCAGCTCTGTGAGCTGCGAATAATGCTGAAAGGCAGAAGGGTGAGAGACGCTCATCATTCTTCATCTCTACCCAATTTATATGTCCAGGACTCTGATCACAAAGCCCATTGGAGATTTGGGTTGACCATGGGCCGCCACCTTTGAGTTTGAAGCTCTTCCCCGACCATTCCACCTGTCACTTTCTTGGTGCAGCTGTCAGAATAGCATTAGGGTCCCACAAAAGCGTCGATGTGGGCTTTGTCTTTGCGCATCCGCAACGTATATGTCAAGCATTACCCGAACAGCCTGAAGATCCACACTAAGAATCACATTATTCTCTCTCCCCCAATCGCAGGCCTACCTTTTCTCAACAAGGTTGTCTTGCGGTAAGCACCCTCAAGGTTCTCGACGTTGTACGAGGCGCAGGGCAGGACAATCACGGTCTGTGACCGATGACCCTAGAAGGCGGTCTGAAAGTCTTCATCGACCTCCCTCCGCATTTGTCAGTGTCAGTGACGCCTTTTCGCAAGTCTCATCAACCTATGCGCCCGGTCTTCGTTACTTCAGGTACGTAAGAGGACTACACCTGAAAGCTGTCATCGCCTGCTCTTTTAAAATCCTGGCAATCGTTTAATTCAGCGTACCTTTAAAGCTCCCATTCATTTTGCATCTGATATCTCGTCAGTAACTTGCATGTCGTTGTCAACGTATCTGACGAAAAGAGCAGATCCTCTCGGCGGCGAAACGTTCGTTCGTATGGACCCTTTTGGACGTGACAGGGGAATGTCAGATTCTGCCGCCGATTCAGTTCACCAGCGATATTCCCATAGCCAGTCTCAGCAGAGATTGCCTCCCTTTCGAACAGTCAGTTTCCAACGTGCCGGTTTGATGACCTGATTTTGACGAGAAATTCAGCTTCTTTCCGAAAACGGCTCGAAGGAGTCGGACCAGCCTGCCCACAATGGATCCAACGGCTATCCATCACCTACAGCAGCATCTCCGAGATACTCTAGCCTGTGCTCGAGCTCCAGACCATTAGCTGCATCGCCAAGTCAGCCTCGTTCAGCGCCCATGCCTTCGTTATCTCAGGGATTCGATGACTTTAACGGGCGGTATCATGATCCGGCGGGATACTCCCAGATGCAACAGCACAGACCACCAGAATACTTGGTTGGGCCCAGCGGTATGCCACAGTATCCAGATGTACCTACGCCATATCCAGGACAGACTCTTACTAGCCAGCAATTCGACTCATACCAAACCAGCTCCAGTCTACCGTCAATCAGAGAAATGCCAGGTCGCAGAGAGGGTGCGGGGACAGGCCACGGCAACAATGGCAACGTACGCGCGTCTTATTATCAAAACGAAAGTCTTGGTCATTACCCTGGTTTGACGCCCGATGCTGAGCATGGCGCATATCCATCAAGACGCCCATCGCTTTATGACCACAATTCCCAAAGTCACACATCTTACCCAGCGCTTGGGTCTAGGCACATGACGCCAGGTGGAGACTTCTCCAGATACGGTCAGCCTACGTACGATACCGCAGGTCGTGCATATCCCTCTCCATATGGAGAGGTGGATTACTCGACGCAATCCTTGAGCGGTCCCCAGCAACCTAACTTTGGCGTACTAGGTGATGCGAATGATCCTCGCAGTAAGAGGAGAAGGGGTAATTTGCCCAAAGAGGTTACTGATATCTTGAGAGCGTGGTTCCACGACCATCTAGACCATCCTTACCCTACGGAGGAAGACAAGCAAATGTTCATTGCTAGGACTGGACTATCGATCAGCCAGGTAAAGCACCACACATGACCACTGGCTGTACCAACTTCTGACAGACTGTTTTAGATCAGTAATTGGTTTATCAACGCCAGGAGACGTCAGCTTCCATCGCTACGAAATCAAGTGCGATCTCAGGAGCATGCACGATCTTCTCATTCGCACATGCTGAATGAGCGAGAACACTATTCGTCCCAAGAATCGAGCCTTTCACCACGATGACAACACTTGGATGTGTGGCTGACACAGGGCCTTTCTCATGAAACAGTCAGTTGTACGGTTAATGTAATACTAGGAATGCGGCGCTCTGATTCAGGAGGGATTGGCTTTTCAAGATACCCAACTGGCTTCAGAAAATATTGGGGCGGGTCTTGCATAGGTAAGGGTATCAATGGTGAAGCGAAGTCAGGGTAACGGCAACATATCGGTGTTTTTCCCCCCAAAATTCTCAGCTGGCACTACGACCACGGATCTTCAGTTCTCATTTCAGCAACAATATGGTATTAATTCTCAGCATTTCACTCTGGCGTTACATTCTTTCGCGCTTCGAAAATTTCCTTTTCCAGCAGCGCATTGGGCTTCAATTCAACAAGCAGTCATCTACAAGCCGGTCTAAAGGGGCCCGGCTAGGAAAGAAAACAGACCACGTCAGCAGAAGTTGGTCTCCGGAGGCAATCAACCTGTTTTTGGGTCCCTAATACCCTTGAAACGCCATCACTTTCTGTCGTGAAGGGTACTAGAAATCAGCATGAACCCAGTCTACCAACCCGCGGGGCGAGTTGGCGAGGGAATAGTGATCCTGGTACTTATCTTTGCGGAGCTTGATGGCATCCAGGGAACACAACCGTGTTACATTTGCGGCAGGTCTCTAACCATCCTCTCTACCTACCTGATGGCCTACTGCATAAGGGAGGAGTCGGAAATGATTACACGGGAGACGTCGGATCCGTTGGCTATCACGCATGATTCAGTGTTGCAGGGTGGTACCCTACCCGGGGAAGGGAAGGGAAGGGAAGGGAAGGGGATGCGCTTTGGATTTCTTCAGACAACGAACCCTGCTCCACTCGACATTGCGAAAGCCCACCGTCGCTGATGTAGCAGGCGCGGACAGAGTCAGATGGGTCAAGAAACCATATCTTCGCCGTTTCTTCGAGTAGGGTTCTTACCGAGTAAACGCGGCGGACAGCTGGAGGCGCCAGCGAACGAGCGATATCCAAGTGAAACAGGACAACACTTCCGTGCCGTGCATGGCTTAAGGTCTTGCCTCATGTGAACCCGGAAATCGTTACGTACCGTGTGACGGATCCGATCCCACCTCAGGTGACGGTGTTTCATGCGCCTTCCTAGTGCTCACGTGGTTGGACAAAGCCTCCTCGATCGTGTCGACATTGATCGTGGTACAACTCGCGGAACGCACCAGCCATTTGCCATGAAATGATGCCTTGGCTTCTGGCTCTGTCTAGCCTGTTAGCCGTTAATCTCGTCCCCAGCCACCTTCCAGAACACCTCGGCACGTCTTCTAAAGCCAAACCCTAATCAACTGCATGCAATAATTAGATCATTATTTAAGATTAAAGGCGAACTGTTGAGCATGACGATTGTTTTGAGTCACGTAACATGACCCTCATTCGCTTCATCTACCACCATACATAGCAAATTGAAAACAGTGCACCTTGATCTCCGTCACATCCACAGGGGAGGTTCCACGTGCAGAATCTGTCTGGGACAACCACATCGAGATCATCTGTGGTACTGTTCATGCTCTTGTCATGTCCTGTCAGCTACCCACTAGAGGCAAGCTCCAGGCACTGACAGCTTCAGGGAGAAGCGGCTGCGGAGCACTGTCGGTACTTGTATCTTGTACTCTTCTCTCTGGCTGTAGTGACGTTGCAGGGGAAAGACGGCATTGCCGTGTTCTTCACGAGTGAACAACCAATTGGCGGGCTTCGCAACGGCCAACACGGTGTAAGTCCAGGCAATGCAGATGAATTGAAAGCATACTGATCCTAATCACTAATGTCTCATTGTCAACCTATCTCCGATGGGCGATTGTGGCGCCGGGAGAAGGCCGTACAGATCTTGCACAATACCAGCTCATTGTAACGAGTACGGAGTACGGAGTACAGAGTACAGAGTACAGACGCAAACATTCAACGCCAGCAAATCGAGGGTAACGTACTAGTAGCTTACTGTAACGTAGCTTAACGTAGCTTAACGTAGCTTACCCACTTGTGCAGCACCAAATTGCTTGGCACAGTCCTCGCTTGCTAACACCGTGCTATTACAACCAATCCAGCTCATTATTAACGATTTTGAAGCTCCAGAAGCTGTCTAAATATGGTAGATAAGAAGAGGCTAACACCACAGTAGTAGATGATTACTATTTGTATAGACTTCACGAAGGATTCCCCTTTATATCATGAAAGAGCTTCATCAACACACTCGGCGCTTAAGAAATTACTATATTTATTAGTCAACATGAACATCAACTGAAAGAGGCAGTTCTTAGCTTCAGTTTAAACTAGATTCGAGAAGATTTGACCTTGTGCTTACAAAGTGGTGGCTGTTCGAGATTTGGTGCTGCACAAGTGGGTCTGCTGCATAAGTGGGTGAGCTACGTTACCTAGCGGCACAAGTGTTGGTAAAAGTGGCTTGTCAACCCGGATTCAATGAATCATCAGCCGTCAAAGTTTTCGCTACCAACATGCATTGTCTACCATTGTAGGCATGGATTTCAAGTGGCCGGCAGAATCCTCGGCCTTACTTGTCATGACTCGCCTGGTCATGACTCGCCTGGTCATGACTCGCCTGTGGGCTAATGTTGCCGACGAGAGTGTCGATGATTCTGCGGCACACGTTTTCGTGAATCATAATCATAATCAGCCTTGCCATGGCCCATGCGGCATTGATGATCATTGATCAGAACAAGAAATTACGTAGTAAGCTGCTCCTGGCGCTGTCACACCAGCGCATGGACCTCCGCACCAGGATCTGCCTTCGGATCATGAGAGATGACAGACGCAAGCTGTCGCTCCCACAAACCACACTTCTCAAATGGCCAGTTTCTATTGTAATATCTTGGTGGTCTACCAACAACTACTGCATGGAACCATCGCAATCTCTCAATCTCCGCGGACAAAGATATGCCGAAGAGCAGAAGAGGGTACTGGATAACTTGGCTGACGCTATTGCCAAACACGACATCTCAAGAGGACTCCTCCGGAACCGATTAGGCGTCCAAGTTTGCGACCCAGACAAATAAACTGTTTCTCAACGGATGCTTGGGCACCTCTCAACACCCGCCCTGAGAATGGAGCTTCGGCTGTCTATTCCGCCGCAATGCAGCCAATTATCATTCGACCGACCCCGATCATACGATCATACGATCATACGATAGACAAATAGCGAAAGAAGTAGCGTGCCCCAAACCCCAAATAGTCGTATCTTTGATACAGTCGTCGATACAAGCTTTCAAACGCCGCAACAGTCGACCGAATGTCTTCAATGTACCCATTGTAACAATTCCAGAAAGACATCTCTTACATTTAAGCCACAGTTTGGCTAAAGATGCCGAGCCGTGCACCGCATCCATCGTTGTTTCGATCTAGCCATCAATTCGAGAACGTCGAAACACCGATCCGAAATGGTGCCATATTTGGTATCTCTAATGAATGTCTAGAAAATATGCGGAAAACCGTGACATTGTCTACAATCAAGGCCAGCTTCCCGGGCTCTGTCGAGCTGGCTGCATGAAACCGCCTGGCACTGATATGATCATCAGCGACGGCAATCAACCATTGAAGAGCAAACCTTCCATACTCCTTACTGGTTCTACTATTTGCTGTATCTTTAACTCAAGCATCAACCGATGCATATAAAATCGAAATAAAGCACACAGCTCTCTATTCTCATGATTACAGGATATGACTGGTTTACCCCGAGCCCTTTGCTCTCCGCCAAGCCAAGGAGAAGGAGACGGTGACAAAAATTGGCCATCAACTTCAATCCCCCGGTCTTCGTCTACCACAACATCCCCAATATCAAGCCACTCACCATATTTACCGCCTCACCATCCCAACCCCCGCTTTCTCGCATAGCTCAACAATCGAAGCAAGCAGAAGAACCCGAATCCCACGCAGGCATCACCATGAATTCCCCTTCTGCCACACACACACACCAAACCCCCTTCCCCCTTACAACCGACTCCCTCATCTCCGTATCTTCCCCCTATTCACTTCGCCCACTCTCCATATGCAGTTCCATCAATCAACCCCAACCCTGATATCCATACCTACTCTTCTCTCTCTCCTCTCCTTTCCCCGTTCCCAAGCGAATCAGCACGACCGCGTGCGTGTGTCATAAATATCCGCACGCGTGTATCCATGTCCACGCCGTCGATCGTGCTTCTCGAGAGACCCCGCCCAAACAAACTTGCATACCCCCCTTTGAAGATGCAATCTGCAATCTGCAATCTGCACGCATGGCTGTCGGATCGCCATATACATACCGTACCGCAGATAGTTGGGAGGGGAGGGGGAATGAACGATGTAAGGACTTCGCTGGTCTCTCTCTCTCTCTCTCTCTCTCTCCATTAGCGATGGAAAGGGAAAGGGAAATGGGTGCGTGTTTTTTCTTTTCTTTTCTTTTCTTGGTCTGAGAATTTGATTTCCGGATAGAGAAGGGGAAGGGGAGGGGGGGTGAGAGAGTAGAGAGTTAGAAAAGACGGTTTCTCCTCTTTGCCATTCACGTCAGATATATATTTATATATATATATATGTGGGTACGCATGTTTGGAATTGACTGGCCATTTTAATTCTCGCTCCGTAGGAAAACCCGAATCTACGCCTATGTGCTCGCATCTGGTTCATCTTCATTTTCATCTCCTGCAAGACCCTGTTACCAGCTGGCC